AAAAGGGCATTTAAGTGGGAATGAGAAAAAGCCTACTCTGCAGTCTTTTCCTGTTGAACACTGCTCCTGATGCTTTTATCACAGAGTTTTATATTTGAGTTTGATAGAGACTGAAAGCAAACAGTTTCTAGGACTTGAACCATGCCAAGAGAAAAGACTGGCAAAGCGACAAGCATGCTCATTTAATTAAGATACCCCCACTGCTATTTTTATGACTTTTTACATACTTGCTGGGAGTTGGCAGGCTGACACAGAAGGCCAGCGTTAGCTCATTTCATCCTCCCAAAATATTCCATCACTAGGTACAGAACAAACTTGTGTACTGACTCCAATTAAATTACTGCAGGAACACCAACTTCATGCACGAGCCCAGGCAACAGAAAAATCAAAGCTGAACAGAGCAGTGTCTCACAAGTAGCAAGTCACACAAACAACTGGCCTACATAAATTCTTTCCAATTTCATGAGGAGCCTGATATTAATCCCCAAAACCTCTTCTCCAATATCTACAAGAGAAACAAAGTAAATCAGTGCACTCTAACAAAGGAACTAGACAAATTACCTAGTGGGTGTCTCACCTAGATATAACCCAATACAAGGAAAGAGAACAAATCAGTGAGATGCTGTAACTCTTTCTCCCATAAAGAAACTAGGGATAGACTTAATTCCTTCACTCACACCACCAACACAGGGTTTTTAGATGAGCTTTATTAAAAATCATGATAGAAAAAATAATTTTGCAAGTGACAAAAAGATGAGGGATTATATTCTTTAAGGAGAAAAGGTAACCTGAGCCTGTGTAAACATTCTTGCACTCTAACTCATTCAATTTCATTAGAATTTTTCTAAATTAAAATTATCCCTAGACTGCAGAGCTCAGTCTTACCAGTTTATTAAGAAATAGATCCTTTCTCAAGTTTCCTTTTCACTTTGTCACCCGAATTTCACAGAATGTCCCCTTATTCTTAGAGCATGAACCAAAAAAAACAAAAGCTTTTGAGTTACTTCTCAAACCATTCATCTTCCTGTGTACTTGTGTTACACCTGTCCATATTCCATGCCTTTCAAAGGCTAAACAGTCTCTTTTTTTTTCCAATTTATCTTTATAAAAGCAAATTTCCATCCCCACAAATTATATTTTTAAACTCTTCCCTGATTCCCTTCTTCTCTACATCCTTTTTAGAGGCATCCAGCACCACATTCACTGTGTTGGCATGCTGTATGACAGTAAGATACTGATTTTTACCACAGCATTTTATACTCCATCACATTTTGTTCAGTTTGATTGCAAGTATGAACACAGGTATCAGAAGAGAAGAAACAAGATTTTTAACACACAGTCCCCTACTTTGAGTATGTGGCATTACTAGCATGCCAAGACATCATTTGGAGCCAGGCAGTCTTTGCTTTTTTGTCCTTCAGCATAATTTATTCTTTCTATCTCACCCACTACAAACTGCAAATCTCTGTCATTGCCTATCAGGGTATCCTCCCAGAAAGAAAATCACTGGTTTACAGGAGAACACAAACACACACTAAGCAAAGGTAACTGCCCAGGACTGTTTGCTTTTAGGTCTTCAGTGAGGAACCAAGTATGCTTTGGCACAAAAACAAGTCAATTTTTCAAAGGGTAGGTCTGCTGCATTTTTTACTAAAACTGTAATAAAAAAGATAAATCATACTATGGAGGACAAGAATATTCTGCATCCTACTTATTCTACCAGAACTATGGAAAATATATAACATCTCTGAATTAACTTGCTAAATATCATAAAATCTAATAGATACTACACTGGCCCTTACAAGGTGCAATCCAGCCAAAACTACAAAAAGTTTCCAAAAACACAGTGCATTACATTTATAATTTGAAGATTTAAAATCACAACAGCCTATCACTATTTTTCTCTGGAAGCTAAAAAAAACAAGACAATCTATAAGACTTTTTTCTCAATGATGAACAATATTGTAAAGTTTGCTTAATATTGCTGTTTGGGGAAAAACATAATAGAGCGATTGACCTGACTCTCTGTTCTTAAACACTCTGCTAAAAGAACAAACTATTTGTGAAAATAACAAAAACCAGCTGAAGGCATTTGGGTGGTCTCCATTTGAGTCCTGTAATATAGAACAGTTCCTTTTTTCTAAATCCAATACTGATTTGTTTTCCTGCTTCAGTAAAGCCTCAAAATCTTGATGACAAAAGCAACACAACCCAGTGAACATCCATATTAATTTACTGGCAGGCTGCTAACTTCTAAGTGTTTGGCTCATCACACACAGAGTACTACACTTACACTATGGAGGACTATGCAGGTTTCTATAGACTGATCCTTTTTAATTCCCTAACAGTATTTTGAGGGGTTGTATAGTTTTATCTTTAGGACTCTGCACATGATTAGCAGAGACCAACGTTGGGTAGTTCAGCTGTACTGCCCTGCTTCCCAAAAACATGGATCTACCTTATTGCTCCACCAGCAGTTCTGCTTTCATTGAGCTGAAGAAGAGCAAAAACTGTCAGAACTTCATGTCTTGGTGTATGTAGCACTCTTTGAAAGGACAGCCTGATATAAATGTGAGATCACACACCCTCACAATCAGCAGACTGCAGTCTACCTTAGGACGCCAACCAGTCATGGCCAAAAAAATCCACCAAAATTAAGTTCTGTGTCATTCAGCAGAAGACTGAAGCGTGCTCAAAACTATAAAAATCAGTAACATTTTTTGTAAAATCCCTATTTTCTACAGTTCATCCCAAATAACCACAAACATACATATAAGAGAAGTGGCAAAGAAGCACAGGTATAACAGCAATGACATCAGCCTAAGCTGTAATTTGTCACCATACACCATTTTCACAGTGTTGGCCCAAAAGAAGAGACACAGTCCCTTGCAATTGTCCTTCACAGCTAAATAATGCACCTTTGAGGGGTTTTTTGATTTGGTTTCTGCTTTGGGGTCACATAAAACCATTAAATTATTCCTACAGACATTGCAGCATTCAGCTACTGGCAGCAAAGGGCTCCATGAAAAAGATTGAGTATGGGAACACAGCTCTGACTGCTCTGCCACTCACACTTGAACAGCAAAAATATTCCCTGGAACTGTAACTTACAACCAAGCTCATATCCCAAACCAATTTCTGTGATAGATCCTAGTAAGTCTCCCAGAAGTTGTTTCTTTCCCCACAACTCCTTTACCCACCCAACAAATTATCCACGCTGCTTTTCCATCTTTTTAGCACCTGCAAATACCCAAGTGAGCCACAAGAACACTCCTGACTCCCCAGTGACTTGCTGTGACTGAGGCTCTTCAGCAGGGCTGAGACAGCCCAGCTCTGAAGCTCACCACATGACCTCTTCTTGGCATTAACCATGACACTTTTTCTAAACCAACAACCCTGGGTTTACACTTTCTGAAAAACAATAAACTGCTAAGCCACAGAATGAAACATGATGCATACACAGAAATTATCATCCTATAGCAGCCTCTAAAAGTAAAAGTCACACTTCAAAAAAAAAAGCATGTTTATGATTCAATACTCCATAATTTTACTCTTTATATGATTCCATGAAAAAAAACATCATTATTCTGCAAAAATAAAAGTTTAACCACAAATGAAGTGACCACAATGTACTACAATTCTAAAAGATGGACTGAGCTATTGATTACATTCTTTCCTTTCCATCTGTGCAACAATTCAAGGTGAACTAACAGCTAAGTACTAAACTTCTCCTGGCATGAGGACACCAGCCAGCTTCCCTGCAAACAAGGCTTTCAGTATTGCACAGCATTCAAAAAGATGCAAGAAAAGAACCAAAGAGAAAAAGGACAGTGCACAGTTTAAGTGAGGATAACATTCTTTCCTGAAATGGTAAAAGACTGAAGTGACAAAGCAAAGACAGTCTTTCCTTAATTGATGCCCTTTCACATCCTTGTTCAATACACAGTACAGTTCTACCACAGTGAGGCTTATGGTGTTTGGATTATGTTCTTGATATCAACTGGAAGAGTTATCAGACTACAATGTATTGCTACAAAAACGACACTAACTTTCCTACAACATTCAATTCCACTATAAATACCCATGAAATCAGGCCTTTAAAAAAGTAATGCTTGAATACTACTGACACTAGGTTTAATCAGCCAATTAGGGACAAATTAATACCAGAAAATACAGTACTATAGTACAATAAGTCAAAGACACAATTAGCAAATATCACACTTCATGATATTTGAATAGAATGGTTTTGACCCAGTTGTTCTGTGGTTTCATGAGGTGACAAGACCAACAGTCATAGAGCAAATACAATACAAAGACAACAACATCTCAAAATGCCATTTTAAATGGGTAGCAAGAATCTCTTTATTGCATCAGCACAAGAAAAAAATGAAATTTAAAAAACAACTCACAACTTTTTATTTTTAACTTAAAAAAGACATATAAAAAATAAAGATCTCTGTCATATAATTTAATGGTGGTTACATTGTGAAGAAGTCTGAAATTCATTTAACTTTGATAAAAACATGCAAATATACTCCATGAGAAAGAGCTCAATTATTACTCAATCAGCACTGTTCCTCTTATTTGCCAATGTTAGTCTTGTAAAAATATGTGGTCATGTTTTAAATTTGTTTTTAAAAAAATCTTTTTAAGTAAAACATGTTCTGGATCTCTGTAAGTGAATTAAAACACCAACATGAAGTACTGAGTCTTAGAAAATAAGGTCCATGTCTTGTCTTGACAGCAAATAAGGACAAGCATCAAAACATACTTTCCTGCTGCTGAACCACTAATATCTTTTATGGAAATTATAAAAACAATCAGTTTCACTGGAGTACAAGCCCAATGGAGTACACCCTCAATGGACTTAAAGAACTGCAAATGGGCAAATAAACAGCAACTCAGACACAGAGGCAAAAACTGCCTTTGTGTTCAGATGGACACAATCAAAATCTAAAACACTCTGTAAAGATATTACTGTAATCTTTCAACATACCCACCTTATTTGTCCTGCTGCTGCTATGACCAATGAAATGTTTCATCCATCTTAATTCCTATTTCGAGGAAATAAAAAACAAACAAAACCAGAAAGTTCCAATATCTCAGGAAATATATTAGCAAAGGACAGAAAATCTATAATAGAAGAGATAAACATTTTAGGAAGCAGTGAATAAACAAGAATCCTAATAAAACATGTTTACCCACAATACAACAGCATCTCCTCTGAGGTACACCATACACTAACAGGACTTTAGACTAGAGATTACAATAATAATATCTAAATAAACATAGCTAAAATTACTGATGAAAGTTCATACATCTCTGATTTTTCCATCCGCTTTTAAAACTCTGAAGTCTCTTTAATTACAACTGCAGCAATATTTCCAGTCAGCTTCCAATCCAAGTTCTACACTCAACACTTGGCTATTTCACTTTGACCTGACACCATCTACCTCCTTAGGTGCAAATAAATACATAAAACCATCACCAGTTTCATACAGACATTTAAAACATTAAACCACTTCTATAAATGTGTTACCTGTGCACATAAAAACGCTTGAAACAGTCCAAGTCACTGATGAAGAACACTCCTCCCACCTAGCACAACATAATCCTTGAACCTGTACATCAAAAACATATGTGTGACAATCACTACATGTTTCTAAGGCTTCAGTGAGAAAGTCAGAAATATCTCATATATGCTCTCCCCATCACTGCTAGTTCTGATATTCTCACTCACAAATAAGATGCAGGAAACATAAGAAACCAGTATTTTCTTCATTAAATGCTTTGAAAAACACTTTAATTACAACTTCAGCTATCCCAATCTATTTCTTTAACAGCCTGCTCAAAAGCTAAACGCATTTGCATAGTGCTGGTTTTCTTCTGATCCTCCAGTTATCATTACCCAAGAATACCTTTAGAATTAAATGCTAAGAACAATAGATCATTACAAAAAATACTTTAAATATATGACTTGTCATACACTTTATTTCTCCATTTTCCTTTCTGTCTTTTGACAAACTTTAAGATGGAAAAAATCCAATTCTTCTAGCTACTGAAGCAGAAAAAAAATGCACTCATCCCTGATGTATTTTGCTTTACATAAAAGTAACTTTGAAAAATATTAACTTAAGCTATTACTAAAAATAACTACCTACAATCAAGTTATTGAAAAAACAAACAAACAAAAGAACAGCTCTGTATTTTCACTGCTGAATAGTTCTGTGGGGAAAAAACTGCAATAAACTACTGTGAAGCAAGGCAGCTGTGCGTTTACCCTGTTATCCCCCTCTTTCCTTTTTATTAAGGAATAATAACATGAAAGACCACTTTTAATGGCATATTAAAAAGGTTCAAACAAGTTAGTACGAGAAAACTCAAGACTAAAATTAGCTTAACTATACAGAAATTAAGAGCTAGACTGTTGACTGAGACTTTAATACACATTAAAAAGTTACAACAGTTATGTTGAAGAAGAAAAGAAGCGAGCACAAGACATACCACATCAATTTTAATTTAGGTATAGAACTAGACAAATCTTTTAACAGAGTATGACTTTTGGGCAAAATTAATTGAAACAAGCCAATCTTTCATATTGTTTTAAATCTGCAACTCTGCAGACATTTGCAGAGTCTTTTTAAAACTTTTATGTGGCTTTAAAATGCTTCCCTCCTTGTATTATCTACGCCAGACACATCTGATCACTCGGAACCTAGGATTTGTTCCTGATGTCATTATTAAAAGTTCCAATGGATTCATAAGCCGACAGGCCTCAGTAAGTCGCACACAAACACTACACCCATTTACTGCATTCATTTCTGCAGCCACAGGACAAAACGCCTTTGGCCGTCAGTCCCTTCCAAACCGTGAGGAGCCCGAGAGGGCTGCGCATCGTATTTGTACTTTTATGGAAGCAGCAGCACGGTTATGAAACATCGCTCAGGCCTGGAGTCAAGAGCGGGGCGCACAGCTCTGACTCACGCTGCCAGGACAGCACGGGAGCCAAAGGCTGCCCCAGAGCCTGAGGCACCACTGCCACCCCTCACAGAGGTCTCGCTCTATGGCCACCACCGAAAAAGCGTGAGATGTACAGGCAACCATCGTGTCTTGTAGGAACCGGTCATACGCGGCCTTTCTGCAGGTCTTTATTACAACACCAGCACCGCCAACGGCAGTCACGCCCTCTCGCAGTTTCCGCACCCGCGGGGCTGATACCCCGGGCAGGGGCTGTGGCACCCCCCGGGCCGGGGCTCGGGTGGCCCTGCTGGCCCAGCGCTCGCACGGCGCCCCCGGCCGAGCGCGGCGGGCCCCGCACGGCCGCTCCCGAGCTCCGGCGGCGGGAGCCAGGCGGGCCCCGCACACACCTCGGCGGCCCGGGGGACGCTGCCGAGCCCTCCGCGCCGCCCGGCGGTTCGGCCGAGCCGCGAGACCAGCCGTGCCGTACCGGGGCGAGCCAAGGGCCCCGCAGGCGCGGAGCTCCGGCGAGAAACCCCTCGGGCTCACCGAGTGAGGGCCGGAGAATGCGCCCGCCCCGCCGGCAGCCGCCACCCCTCCGCCTCTTGCTTCCCGGCCCCGCGCCGCCAGCCGGCTCCGCAGGCGGGCAGGGAGCGGGACAGCCGCGCCCCGGCGCCGCCCGCCCCCAGCCCGGGCCGCGGCCCCACCGCCGCGGGGGGAAGGAACTTACGAACACCCGCCGTGCCCGGTCCCGCCTCCGCGGCGCGGGGCGGCGGCGTCACCCCGCGGGAAGGCGCAGGGGCGGGGCCGCCGGCGGGCGGGCGCTGTCGGACCGAATGGGGCAGCGGGGCCGGGACTGGGGCTGGTTTTGCGCCCGGGCTTCGGCGGCGCTGCCCCGGCGATGCGGCGCTGCGGCCTTGGGCAGCGCTGTGCTGAGTGAGGCATTCTCTCCCCGTCCCAGGCAGCCACTGCTGGGGGGAAACTGCGCTCCCAGCCGGTCCCCGAAAGTGATGCTTGTCAGGCAGTGGGATAGGGGGGTTTTGGGGGACAAGGCAGAAAAAGGAATCTCTAAAAAATACAGGAATTGTGCTGGAAAAAAAGCATAAGAGACTTGAAAGCACTGGGTCAGAGGGAGCGCAGATGTCTAAACATGAGCTGACCTGAAGGGCAGTGGCATCCAGGCCTGTATCAGCAATAGTGTGGCCAGCAGGATGAGGACAGTGATTGTGCCTCTGTACTTGGCAGCAGTGAGGCCGTGTCTCAAGCGCCAGGCTTGGGTTTGGGGCCTTCATTTTAAAGCAAACATTGAGGTACTGGAGCCTGTCCAGGGAAAGGCAGCGAAGCTGGTGAAGCATCTGAAGGACAAGTCTGATGAGGAGCAGCTAAAGCGAGCTGGGGGTGCTTAGTCTGGAGAACGGGAGGAACAGGGAGGACCTTATTGCTCTTCAGAGCTACCTAAAAGGAGGTTGGAGTGAGGTAGGTTCCAGTCTCACAAGTAACAAGTGATGGAATGAAAGGAAGTGGCCTCAAAGTTGTGACAGGGCAGGTTTAGTTCGGATACAAAACATATTATATTGAGGATCCTCTCAGCCTCATACAGCATGTACAGGTAATCAGGCCTAGCTAGCATGGGTTTATTAAAGGCAGGTCCTGATTGACTGACCTGTTCCTCTGTGACAGGGTGGATGAGGGAAAGGCTGTGGATGTGTCTACACATCCTCTACTGGACATCAGTAAAGCCTTTGACACCATTTCTCACAATGTTCTGGAGAAACTACTGCTCATGGCTTGGACAGGTGTGTCCTTCATTGTGTAAAAAACGTGTTGAGGTGGCCAGGCCTAGAGAGAGTTGGTGAAAGGAGCTCCATCCAGCTGGTCAATGGTGGTGTTCCTCAGGGCTCAGTGTTGGGGTCAGGCACATTTAATACTTTTATTCATGATCTGACTGAGGAGGCCAAGAACACCCTCAGTCTGCGTACACAATTTGAGCAGAAATGTTGATCTACTGGAAAGTCAGAAGGTTCTGCAGAGGGATCTGGGCAGGCTGGATCCATGGGGTGAGGCCAGTGGTAAAGGTTCAAGAAAGCCAAATGCTGGACCCTCTACTTGGGGCACAACAATTCCTGCAGTGCTACAGACTGGGGGGAGAGCATCTGGAAAACTGCCTGGTGGAAAAGGACCTGGGGGTATTGGTGGACAGCAGCTGAACCTGAGCCAGTGAGTGCCCAGGTGGGTGTCAATCTCTTCTGCCAAGTAACAAGAACTAGAATGAGGCCCCAGATTGCACCAGGGGAGGGTTAGATTGGATATTGGTAAGAATGTCTTCTGCAGAAGGGTTGTTAAACACTGGGACCGGCTGCTAGGGGCAGTGATGGAGTCACCATCCCTGGAGGTATTTAAAAGATGTTTAAAAAGGTGTTTAAAAACATTGGGCCTAGGGACAAGGTGTAGTGGTGGAATTCATAGTGCTGTGTTAACAGTTGGACTCAATGATCCTAAAGTCTTTTCCAGTCTAAATGGTTCTATAATTCTGTGGTTCTCTGAAAGGAAAAATGAAAGTGTGACAGAAATAGGATCATATGGGATTTAAGAGAAAGCTGAAAGGAGAGAGGTGGGAAGGCACAGAAGAAATAAGGGAAGTGTATAATGTGTAGATGTGAAAAAAAAAAAAAAGAGAAGCAACATTCAGAATTTAAAAAAAAAAAAAGGCAACCACTTTTCTTGACCTTCCTACCATCTCTTCTACATGTTTCTTGTGGGGAAGCAAAGGACTTCTGTCTGTACCACTTCAAAGTTTATTGCATTGAGGCCACATCCTTTTCCAGCCTCATCCTGTGATGCAGGACTGTCTCCATCTTCATGAGCTCCTCTTGCATGTGCTCTGCCAAGACACCCCCATCTCTGTGAGCCTGCACTCAGCACAGCTTTCTGCCATAGCCCTTTGCAGGAAGAATGGGTGACAGGGATCCTCTAGCCACAGCTGGAACAAAGAATCTCTGGAAAAGCATTGACACAGCTTCTGGAATGTGGGAGTAAGGGAAAGGAGGAAGTGGTGTTAAGCTAAGAATTTCATTCTGATGGTTTGTGCTATCATGTACTTAGCATCATGATGCTGCTGTGATAGTAAGCCCAAAAGCACCAAAAGTGGAAAAAGAAATCGGTGTGGCAGAAGATAGGAGAAATATGGAATGTCTTCCAAATAGTCACATTTCTTTCCATGTACCTAAGGCTGAAATTTGAACTGAGTAGCTATAGGGAGCATGCTAACAATTAAAAATAGATTTAAAATGTTTGTGCAGTTTTCTGAAAACCTGTTTCTGCAGCTTGCTGCAAAGTGGCAGCTAAGGCAGCAGATATCCTGAGTACCTGACACTTTTTTCTAGTCTTGCCATACAATAAAAAGAAGTTAAAAGATTAGGCTCCTTTTGAACTCAGATTTCCTGAAATTAAATGTGAATTAGAATTAGTGATTCTGAACATGAGCACAGTTTTGTGAATACAGTAACTGCATCTTGGCAAATGAAATTTGTGGTGATAAAACAGGCGGACTGGCTCAAAGTCATTTCAGAACATTTATGGTATGGCACTTTCCTTCAGGCATGTGTTCCACTTGGAAGTTCTGTATCTGAAATAATTGTTCTGGTGCTTCAGAATACTTCCTTTAAAAGTCATTGACAATTTCAACAGAAACTGAAGTTTAAAAATAAACATACTTATTCTTAACCTTTATGTACCACTAAAGCTGAAGTGGTTTGTAGTTACAGAGCTTATCGAATACAGTGAATTTGAAGGTGAATCTTCCAAATGTTGTTAAATAATTGTATTTCCTTTTGGATTTATACAAGTACTAGCTGTTGCTTACGCAGAAGTGTTACTATATCCATTGTATGTACTGCCTTTCTGAACCACAGATGTGGCATAATGAGTATACAATAATGGTTCTTGCCACTTGGAGAAAAACAAAATATACTTTCCAATGTGCACATGTGTTTGAACCTTTACCAACTATTAGTTTTCATCTAAAAATAAAATGAAATGCAACAGTGGATTTATCTGTTGCTGGTGAAAAAGAAAAGAGATCTGATGATAATATAAAGTTAATGTATAGACTATTTTCAGTATTCACAGAAAATATCAGTCATTTCTATTAGAGAGTGCAATAATTTTCCTCAAGCCTTACTTCATTATATACTGTAGAAAATTAGTAGCAGTGATAATTAATGTCGATCTGGAATATTATGTTTTAAAACAACACTGGAAAAAATATTTCATTGTGACTAGTTGAAGAAAATATTTTTTGTGGTTTAGTACCTCAACATCTGAGCTTATAATATTCAGTAGTACTGTTTCCTGAATACTTTTCAAAAAAGTGTATCAGTGATTTCAATCTTATTTTACAGGCTTTTGTGAAGGAGTTTTTCTTAAAAGCTAAGTAATAGAGTGAGTTCCTGCTTAGAATTGAAAGTAAGCAGACCTTAGTCACCAATAAACAATATCATAAGAAAAAATCAAGGCTGTGATATCTGATGAAGATAATACTTTCTCTGTTTATCACCTACAGTGGACAAAGAACTACTGTTTTAAAGATTACATTGGTAATGATTTCGAAGAGTGGTAGTGTATTATCAGATAGTATGAACTGAAGAGTATACCTACATGATTAAGAGTTTTATTATGTACAGTATTAATGTGCACTACCTGGAATTCAGGGTAATAAAAAATCCATAGTTGCAATGCTCACATTAATTTTTTTTTGTATTTAGCAGTGTGTTATATTTTCAGAATTAAATCAATAGAGGTGTTTGCACAGCAGGGCTTTTGCCATGTATCAGTGCAAGTGGAAATGCCAAAACATGGTCATAAAGAGGGGAACCACTGTGTTCTGTGGTACTGTGAGCTGGAGGCTTTATGGGGACAGCAGCAGCAACAAACAACTGTAGTATTTCCCACCCTCCCATAATCTGTGAACTTTTAGAACATTAATTGTTACCTTACTGTTCTGTCTTCAGTCTGCATGGAGGAATTTTACATCACCTGTAAAGACAATCCTCCCACATGCAGTAAGGTATTACTGCATTGTAATAATTTACTTTAGACGAGGGAGAGAATCATTGAGGTTGATGTTGGTTTAGGTAGAAGTTTGTAGTTCTTCAGAACACTGTTATTGAAAGATGACGAAGGTACTTAAATCCACTGCACTAGAGCACAGACTCAAAGAAGTTGGGAAACTTGGACAATACCAAACACAAGCTTTGAAAAACCTCTTAGTACCAGACTTCTCCTGCTTCCTACAGATTAGGCCTCCTGCTGACTATTTGTACTTTTAAAATGTATAAGAGATTTAAGCTTTAATGTCTGCACTTCAGTTCACCTACCTTTGAAACAGCGGTGGTAATTCTGACTTAAATATTGTGATGATACATTAATAAATATGAGCAAAACTCTTTGAAGTTGAAAAATATAATGAGATTTAAGTACATTCCTTTTTGTCATGATTAACCTGTCAGACATTTAAGTGCTGAAACACTGCTCTTGGAATAAAGAAAAAGGAGAAATGCCAACTAAGATAATAAAGAAGCCAAGATCCAGATCAAATAGGCAGAACAAGCAACTAAAATAAATACCGGGGGAAAATCCAAGGGACGGAGCAGATCAAAATTTACAGCTCAGAAAAATAAAAAGAAAGAAATCTGAAACAAATGCTGTTGGAATTGGAAGGGTGGTTAATATGCTGCTAAGAAACACCTTTGCATAAGATTGAA